ATTAATTTGTTAATCGTTATGACCACTGACTATGAATTTGGTTCGTTATGAATAACCTTACTATGATTCCCCGGTTCGTTATGCTTTCGAACGGACTATGATTCATTTTCCAGGGGGTTCATTAGGTTAGTTTAAGGTTAGCTAGGAATGAGGCGTCCCTACAGGCCCTTGATGCGTAGGTCCTGATATTAGTCCTTATCCCATCGAAATATCTTTATTCACATCAAATTCTATTATGTTTGGTTAAAAAAGGGGAGCTCTAGTGTCTTCAATTGTCAATCACTCTTCCAAATGTTATTAACTTTGAGAAGTCAAAGACATACTTATCTACAATAAAAAACTGTATTGTCTGTGAGTAAAATACGTTCTAATCCAAAGAAAGTACTGTTACTTTCTAGACCCGTTATCTTGAAACGAAGGTTATCACACTTTTCTTTCGAATTTTGTTTGTCGCCTATTCATCACCCCCTACAACAATTATGTCATCCGCATTGATCAAAAGTCAAATAAGTTTCCCTTCTAAGGAATTTTTGATGAACTATGGCCACCTACACTCTATCGATGTCCCATCATAACCTAACTAAGTACACCAAACCAAGCATGAGGAGACTGTTTACATTGACACAAGGCTTTCTTCAACATGCACACTTCATTCTCCTCTTTGATAGATATCAAACATGAAGAAATTTCATCTAGACTTCTTCTAGATGTCCATGTAAGAAAGTATTTTTCTCATCAAATTATTGCAATTCCCAACCAAATTAAGTTGTTAATAAGAGAATGATTCTAACAACATTCATCTTTGTCATTTGAGTAAATGTCTTCTCATAATCAACACCATAAGTTTGAGTAGACCCTTTAGAAACTAATAATGCTTTGTAGCAATCTTACATGTCATCAAATCTATACTTTACATTATAGATTTATATGCATCCAATTGCCATTTTATCTTGTGGTTTGTTAACAATCTCCTATTTCTGGTTCTTTTCTGACCCACTCATCTCTTCATTTGTGGCTTGATAATAGTAATATGGTTACAAAAAGAGAAACGACATACTCATCTCTTCATTCGTGGTTTGACAATAGTAATTTGGTTACAAAAAGAGAAACATATGATATTAAAATAGGTGAATGAGGAGTCATATTTTTTGTAGCACTAGGGTCTAGAACTTATGAGTCCTAACATAAAGCTCTAGAAACATTAAAAGAGGAATTGGACCTCCAACCCAGTGGACTCGAGTCGACCTTTGGCCCCAACCTACTCGGCTTGATATTTTGTATTAGGTCTACTTGACTTAACCATTTAGCCAAGGCCAACTAACATTTCTCGATCTTTGGCCTAGACAAACACATGTCGACCTTTGGCTCGAGCTGACTCTACTTACCCTTCAGCCCGGATTGACTTGTTTCGGTCTTCGAACAGGGCCAACTCAGCTCAGCTTTTAGACCTAATTCGATTTGGCTTCACCTTCATCTTGGGCCGACTCTACTTGACCTTAGACCAAAGCCTTCTTGGTTCAACCTTATCCTCAACCGCCTTGGCTCAACTTAGATGCACTTTGATTTTGGATTTTCAAACTCTAAAACACGATCAAATCTAAATTTGATCCAAATCCATTTAAGTAGATTGGATTTAAAATCTAAAAATATGGATATGGATTTGGGATAAATCCATTTAAATGGACTTAAAACAATATAAATTTTAGTTTATTATAAATTGGATCTAAAAATCTGAGTTTTTTGCCCACCCTTAGCTTTAGTTTTTCCAAAGGAATGAGAGTCTTCTCCTTTCTAGTTACCTAAAGTAAGTCTGCTTGGTGCGATCAAATTTCTTGCAATGAATGAATTAACAATCTTCCTTAACTTTTGAGTTGAATTTCATGTTTCCAAGATTTAAGATCTCAGGTTTGGAAGCTTTCCAGACAACATGGCAGCTTCATCAGTCGAGAGCTTATTCACCATGACCATGGAACAAGTTTCCTCACCCAAACAATGTAGGGAAGAAGTTTTCTTTCCAAGAATTTGTATTCTTGTAGGGTCATATTTAAAATTCAAACCTAACAAGAACGTAAATATCTAGGATTTAGACAAACTAAGCAAGAAAGGCAACATCTATGCTATTTTCAAACTTCAAATTTTGATACTAGTCCAATTAAATCCATAGACCCTTTAATATTCCAGTGTATTTTGCGACACAGAGGACACCCTATATAGGACTGAAGATCTTGTTTTCTAACTCATAACAAAACGTGTTATAATAAGAAATAAGTAATTTCAAGGTCTTCCAAATTTCACATGCACAGGAGTAAAACATATAATTTATGTAATCATGGATCCCCATAGTCAGATGATAATCTGTGAGTCATTATTGTCCCAAACTTTTCAATATGATAGAACCTACCCTTGAATGTGCACCTAATAAATTTAGCCCATTAGAAATAATTTCGACCATCAAAAAGATCATCATCAAGCAAATGTGAAAAATAAGCATTACCTAGTGGAATTGTCATACCAAAGAAGTGATTCCTTAAGACCCTTTTTTTTAGAGAAAATCATGAACAATGCCCTTTACAAAGGAGAGATACAAAACCCGAGGCAGAGGTTCTTAACAGGGGCAGGTCTATAACAGTCATCTCATGTTAACTCCAGTGAAGGAAATAGCGACAACAACGGTTAGAAAATGGGTGGTGTGGCAAACCCTCACACACTCAGACAAGGGGAACAGGCATGTAGGTGGACGCGTGGCTGCTCCAATGGTGACACAACTCCAGGGAGCTGTCAGATTGGAGAATGGCGAATCTCTTGGTGTGGTTGTCGGTCAAGTTGGTCTCTCTGGCCGTGGTAGTGACGATGATGGTGACAATAAAATTACTCATGAAACACAAACTAGGTGCACTTTAGACAAACCAGCTAAACAAAATAAATAGGAGCACAAAATAACCCCAAAATGTTAAAAATGCAACTAAGACGGCAAAGGGAAAAGTACAGAAGCTTATATCCCATTATCAGAAGTTCTAATACCAACTTTAAGAGAATTCAGCTATATAGAAAAGATTTTATTGAATTTAATAAATGAAACAGCACATAAACGTCCATTCATAGAGATTAGAAAGAGATCTCTAGTATTTTACAATAGCACACTTGTGACGATTGCAATATCCTTTTGTAACTTCAACAAATATTTTCTCCGGACTCAACAATAAGTTTATTTTAAAAATGGATTTTTAACTAATTAGAACATAAAGTAATTAAAAGTGTAACTAAAGCCGAATTAGACCACTTAGAATCGCATGTAATAGAAAATGCTATGCCAGATTATTTCTAAGTAGCCAATAATTTAAAATTCAACACTTTTTCCTATGCTTACCAGCAACGTGTGTTCTTCCTGAATACGCATCAACTGCTGCCTTGATTCTTCGTTGCATTCTGCAATTTTTTTATCACATCTACCCTCAATTTCGGCAATAGTTTTGTCTGTCTGAAGGTTAAAATTGGTTAGAAACAAGTTAATGGAAATAACATCTCACAGATGCCAGGATATACTATCAAACCTTGTCTTTTTCCATATTCACAATTTCCATCTTCTCCAATTCATACTTCCTCTTAATGTCATTGATAGCCTGTTCAAATAATGAAGATTTCACGCGAAGTTAGGGCTCTATTTGTCCAGAACCAATAGTAGGTAGCCAGCTATATGTACAAGACCTGATCATTTCTCTGAGATATTTCTTTCAAATGCCTTGATAGTTCTAACTGTTTATTCTCTACCATTTGATCATATTGCTTCCTAGCTTCTGAAAGTTTGCTTTCAACAGCAGTCAACAATGATATGTTCTGCAAAGTCAAAAAAAAAAAAAAAACTCAAATAATACACAAAAAACCAGTCAGGAACAGGCAATTTGCACTATATGTTTGCTCCAAAACCTCTGTGATTTGATCTTGTAGCTTCTTTTCCTGTTCCTTACAATGTAAAACACACTGTTCTTTTTCCTCCAGGGCATTATGAAGCTGGATTACTTCTTGATCTAGAGAATCAGCATGCTTCTCTAGTTTTATTCTCTCCTTTTGCAAAGTATCTATTTCCTCTGATTTCTTCAATATCTCTGCCTGTAGTCTTTCGGTATTTTCTTTGCTTTCAGTCTCTAATGCTGAAACCTTCAGCAGCAAGTCTTGCTGCAAAGCATTAGATACCTCAATAAAGAACTCGACAATGTATGTCGATAGGAAATCAACTAAAACAGATTAACTTTCATACCACGTGCTTGTCTGATGATCTAGAACTTTCTAATAGAAGTTCAACTTTCTCTTCTAATTTGGAAATTAATACCTCTGCTTCTTTCTTTTTTGAGATTAAATTCTCAGTTTCTGACACCAAACTTTGAATTCTCTCAGCAGCTAATCGAGAGTCCTCTGTAAGTTGGGCTACCGTAGATTCTTGAACTTTCTGAAGTTCATCCACAGTTTTGTTTAACTCGTAGTTTTTCATTTGAGTTGCGTTCTTTTCTAATTCCAAGACTACAAATTTGTTATTAAGCTCACTATACTGGTATTGAGCATGTTTTGAGAAAGTTTCTCTCTCCTTCTGAACCAACTGGAAGCCAGAAGCATAGAGTAAATTCATTTCATCAAACTTGCTCAAAAGATTCAGGCTTTCTTTGTCTAAATTTGACAAATCTGCAGCCAAAGACTGAAGTGTTTCGTTAAGGTTTTCAATTTCCTGAAGTGACATGTCATGCTTTTCTGCAAGCCCGGTATTCAGCAATTGAAGATCACTCTTTTCTTTCTCCAATTTCTCTTGACAGGTTATGTGACGCATAATTTCATCTTCTTTAACTTTTAACTGAAGGTGAACCTCTTCCAAAGTTGAGTTCAAATTCTCTGTAGCCAATCTACTAGATGCTAACATTTCTTCTAAATTCCTTATCATATTATCTGCAAACAAAATGAATTTCCATACAACAATTCAAATCAGTAGCAAGTTAAGATACAGGATATCTAGTCTGCTGAGAATTATAAGGATTTAGGTATGAAAAAGAAAAAAAATTGAAACCTAATAACCTGAAATTGCATGAATTTGATGTGATACAAAAGACAAAGTACTAGCCCATGTATAACGTGAGAAGAAAGCTACTAAGTTATCTCGAATGAGACAATATTCCATGACAAATCAAATAATGTTATTTTAAACATTCTTATCAGTATCTTCTCAGTCAAACAGAAACAGAACTTACTTTTATACCTGCTTTTATCATTTTAGTTTGAAAAGCATTGGAAGGTTCCATCTTGACAGGCTATTAAGATATATAATATAGAAGCTGTTGAGTACACATCTTGCATTAAGTAATTAGTTACTTGTGGTCAGTGGTAGATCCAGATAACGTCTGATGTAGGGGTTGAAAGTAAATAAACTTTGACCACTAATTATGGATGTAACACAGGATATGAATATGATACGACATTGGACATGATATGACCTTACCTTAAATAACCATGCCCAAATGCTTTTTTATTACCCTGACATACCACCACACCTTGGTTTGAAATGTAGTCAAATGAAAGATTATTACAAGTTCTACCAAAAGAGTTGAAAAGGAACCTTAGATTAGCTATATAAGTGCCAGTATCATTTCCAAGAAATCAAGATCATTAAAGACGAGAGCCAAGTACAAATACGAAATAAGATTAAAGCATAAAATATGCAAACCAAGAAGACAATTTATTGATACTTTGCAGTATGCGATTTTTGAATTTCAAAATATGACCTAAATAACACATAACAAACAAAAGCAGATATATAAACTGAACACATGACCCTCGAGGACCAAAATACGTTTAGTAATGACCCACCTCATCTGAAATCCTTTCAATATAATGCATCAATCCTACATCCCAAGAGATATAACATTATATATAGCCTGATATATACAAAACAATTGCAATTTGCAACATAATCCTCACCTTTCTCTTCTATAACGTTGGCAACTCTGCAGTGTTCATCTCTGTGAAATTTCTCCTTTTCTTCTGAAGCAAACTTGAGCTTCTCTAGTTCGTTATCACCTATAATAGGGATAACCATATGTTACCTATGGTAGCATTATGGATATTAAATATCGGAACATCACAATTACAACATATCAAACCAAGCTATATTTCAATTCAATTTTTTTTACCGAAGTTTTAAACTGAAAAGAACTTACGGGTTCTAATTGTTTCCTGTGCAGAATCTAGCTTCAAAGATAAACCATCCATCTGTTTACTCAAGCTATCAAGAGTTTTTGAACTTGCTGACAGTTTATTTTCCAATGTCTCCTTATCTTTTTCGGCTATATCAGCAAGATGAACCAGTAGACTAGTTAAAAGAAAAACCAAATGAAAAAAATAAAATAAAAAAACAAAAAGTATAGGGAACTTGAATATTCATACCATCCTGAACCAGACCAGCCAAGTTCTGTAAAGTCTCCGTAAGTTGATCACATAAAGTCTTAGTAGAAGAGAACTTAGACTCCAATCCCTTCCACAGTTTCTCATCTTCCTTCTGCTTGACCTGGAGCTTGGCATTTTCGTTTAAAGCATTCTGCAATTTTTCTTCCAATGCGCGCACACACGCCTGCGACTTCTTAAGCTTAGCATTCTGCCGAGGAACAGCAATAGAGTAACAACATCTCAATAAAACAACAAATACGAAATCCTAAGCATCATACACTTTAATTCACGTGCGTGCAATCCTCGCCTCACAGCGCAAGCTCAAAGGAAAGTATCATCATACCGCATTTTCAAGATCAGTCTTCGCCGAAGCTTGCTCTTTCACCAATTTCTCTGCACATGAATAAATCGAAGAAGCATGGTCACGTTACGATAAGAATTTCCGACATAATCTTCGTTCTCGAATAAGCAGGAAAATATACCGAAAAGAACATAATTGAAGTGAAATTGCGTTCAAAACCTGCGGTGAGCTTCAGGTTTGCAAAACTCCCCGATGAAACGGTATCCACAGAAGGACGCGAAGATAATGGCTTGGAAGCTCCCGAAATTGAACCGTACAACGATTTGAATTGGTCCAGGCTCTTGGAGACTGGGAATGCTAGCTTCTTCTGCATAGCGAAGATCGAAATGGAACCCTAGAATATGTGAGTGAAGTTTTCAAGCGTTTTTCTTCTCTGCCACACAGCGTTGCAAGGGGCGGTTCTCTTCTCTGACACACTGCGCTCAAAGGGACGTTTCAGTTGAGTGTGAAAATGAAATTTAGTTAGGCGCCATGGTGACGCAATATTTATACTCTCGCGTGAGCGGGATTTTTGTTCGTCTAGACCGTTAACTTCCTTCCAGACAGAAAGGTTTCTTTTTATTATTTTTACAGTAATTAAATTAAATATTTTTAAGTTATAATTAGTTGTGGAAAAACAATTATGGAAAGCAGTCTTCTTTCAATATCGAAAGAGAACAATTTTCCAAAATTACATAAATAAACTAGTTGTATTTAAAAGAACATAATTTATTAACTTTAATGTTTTTAAATTACGGACTTTTATGATAAAACAAAACGCAATTTCTTAAAAAAGAAATAATTTTATAAATATTTAAAATATTTCTATTGTTTAAAAAGTTAAGAGTGTTTTTTCAAACCTAATTTGAGTTATTATCGTAATAAAATTGTGGTCATCTTCAATTATTTAAAACACGAAGTTGTAAATATATTCAATTACTAATATCCTATTTAAAAACGAAAGTCAAATACCAACATATCTAATATGTTAACATAAAAATGTGGTTATATGTATCTTTTTACGCTAATATTTAGTCATTTCGCGTAAAGGAATTTATCATGTGTATGAATATATCTTGGTAAATGTCTAAGATATACTTGGTCCTCATGATCCAACAATAATACGACTTGGTCGGCTATATGTCGGTTAAACAAAATCAGCATATGCAAAACATTGATCAAGTTGATTTAATATTATGATTAAAGTATAATTAAGTAGTTTTATTAACTGAAGACTAATAAGATGATTGACTACATGTATCGGTAAAAAGTTCATAAAACATAATATAAATAACTCAATATAGTAGATAAATTAATTACGTTTCATTATTACAACATTTATTACTTTCTCACGCATTTGGCTAACATAAGCGTTAAAGTGTCTTTTACAGGTACAACTCTTGCTTGACTTGCGAAGACGAGTACCTTTGAAGTTGGAGCATAAAGTACTTGGAGTTGGAGTCTTAGCATAGTATATTCAGTTCCATAAGAACAATTGGTGTCCATTATGGGGCCTACATATATTCTATGAAAAATTATTACATGGTGTCTACAATGAGCAAGATGGTTGGATCAAAAGAAGCGAGACCAGAACCCTCCTCGACTGACATAGTTGTTATCTTGGAAAGGCCCAAATGCAGCAAGAATTCAATGAGTTTAAGATGAGAAGTGCGAAAAAGATGGATGCCTTAATGAAAGAAAATGCTAGACTGAGAAGGAAGGTCAAAGTTGAAGGAACAATCGACAAGGGGAAGGAGAAGGTAATCATCGAAAATGTAGGGTCAATGCAAAGATGTACATGTAGCCTTAGATTTGATAATGACATTGAAGCGGAAAGTGGCTACCACACTACCCCCAAAATTTGAGGGGCAATGAACAACTCCTCGTCAGCAAGAGGAAGTTGTTGACATGCTTTCATGTATGTTATCTGTCAGTTTGTATTCGACTAATGATGTTGTTATGTGCAAGGTCTTTCCTACCACCTTGAAAGAACCAGCCTTGGATTGGTTTACTCACCTAACCCCCTACTCCATCTAACCTACCTAACCCCCTACTCCATCTAACCTACCTAACCCTTTTCTTTGATACCCTAACATCGTCTTTCACAACTTGATTTACTACTAGTCGCACCATTATCCCACGTCCCTCTCATTTCTTAATATTAGGCAAGAGAAAAGGGACTATGAACCTTCATTGATAGGTTCAACAAAGTAGCCTTGAGGACCAAGAACCTAAATCCTGAATTTGTTTTGCACTACATGATCACGATACTAAGGTTGGAACCTTTTGTGGATAATATGTGTTGACTTTGCATGGACCATTATGGGGTATTGCTGAGGCACCCTCAAAAGTTAAGGTCCCCGAGGTAATAAGAGGCATCATTTTCCTCCTTAAGGTTTTAAATATTACGTTGTCAAATTGCATGACTCTCAATTATTGCTTCCTAGCCGACGACGATTAGCCTCCTTTAGCAAATCCCCTAGATATTGTATTGGTTGTGCCTCTCTAGAAAGGCATAATATCATAGCATTTTTCCTCATGATGGGTTGACTTTTCTTCTATTCTTCCTTTTCGACTCTTCAACCTTCTTTTTGTTCATCATACATACGGTAGTCAACACACGAGACTCATTTGTCCTCATGCCTTACAGAAACCGCTTGAGGTGTCCGACTTGGATCAATTCTTCAACCTTATCTCTGAGTGTCGTGAACTCGTCTATTGTATGATCATAGTTCCTGTGGTATCTGCAGTATTTCTTCATATCGACATTTGGCGATATTTGGGACTTTTTAGGCGGTGGTATGAGGTTTGTTTGTAACGCTTCCTCCAACACGCGAGATCTAGTTGTTTTTAATGGTAAATATAATGAAAACCAGGTATGTCTTGGTTGTCTCTGGAGAGAGATAGATAACATCTTTTTTATGTCGAGGTCTTGATAACTCCATTCTTTTCTATCGGCATGGTCTCAAATCTAATCTTATTCTTGTAGCCTCTCATCTCCTCCAATCACATAAGTTTAGTTGCCTGTTGCCTCAACTTGTCAATACTTGTGG